GTACAAATCTAGTGGAATTTGTGCTGATTCATGTATTCTCACAATTTGCTCTGATTCCAATACTTGCCATTCAAGAGTAATGCAACATCGGCGTGTCCGCGGCATTTTCATGTATACATATCATGTCTTTGCAGAGTTGTTGCATTTTGTGTAATGCCATGTTAACAATCAATTGAAATAAAATAGGCGAAAAAAATTTCATACCCACATGTATATTTAGCCTCAACAGCATAGGTTACGTGTTAAACAACCACGATTGGACCATGATGGTCAGCCAATGGAAAATTTCTCAAAATAGAATTTGTCCTTATCGACTTCAGCCTTACATAAAAAATCCTCATTGGCTTTAAACTTTCTGAGGTTTCATTTTTTGGAGAAAAAATAAGATTGTGAAAGTTTCATGTTGATCGCATTTGCAGAAGTTTGGTTCTTGGCCCTCAATTTTTTCCAAGAAAATGTCGACAAAAATTGAGGACAAAAAATCAAACTTCTGCAAATGCGATCAACATGAAACATTCAGAATCTTATTTTTCTCCAAAAAATGAAACCTCAGAAAGTTTGAAGCCAATCAGAATCGTTTAACGGGTACCTCCCATACAAAATTGTCCAAAAATCGATAATTTTAGTCAAAATTTCAAAAAAATTGTATGGAAGGTACTCGTAAATCGATTCCGATTGATTTCAAACTTTCAGAATCCTATTTTTCTCCCAAAGAATGAAATCCCAGAAAGTTTGAAGCCAATCAGAATCGATTTACAGGTACCTCCCATTCAAAAGTGTCAATTTTTTGAGGTTTTTTTAGGGCAAGTACCCCAGGATCAAATCGAAAATAGCTCATCTTCGAACTTAAACTAAGTTTTTCGGATACAAAACTTTTGGCATTTCCAGATTTTGATTATCTCAATTATTACATTAACAAACAGCTACGACGACGACGACGGCACACGAACGGAAAAGTGTCTCAAAAAGTGGTTTTCTTCGCGTTTCATGAGTTTTTATGATGATCTAAGCTAATTTTGCGAAAAAAGTTTTCGGGACCAATTCCTATACTTTCCCTCTAGGGGGAAAGAACGACACAAATTCAAAGATAACATGGAAATATTGCCAATGCCTAACGAAACGTGCAAATGCGTGCAAATACGACAAACGAATGCTAGAAGATGTATGCGTATTTGCCATTCTTATTCCTGCTCAGCAAGCACTGCTCACTACGAACGATACGAAGCAACATGAAAACAACAACAATAACATAGAGGATCGCTATGCAAATGCTTGCAAATGGACGTGAATACGGCAAATACGTCAAGTCGTTCTTTCCCCCTAGCTTTCCCTTGACACTTTATGTACGGAAAAGTAATAAGTTACATATAGCGATTGGAAGCAAAAACAATGCTGTTATACACGATGTCAGGCATGAATGCAATCGGCGACGCGTCCAAATGCGGTTCGATTCAACTAATTTCCGATAGCACACACCTCTACAGCTCGCATATTCGGCGATAGTTGAAATTCCCTTCTAAGTGAATGTCCTGTATGAACCGATTTTGAAGCAAATTTTTGTCATCGTTTGCTGTTATACACGAAGGTAGGTATGAATGCAACCGTCGACGCGTTTGAAAACGGTGCGATTCATCTAATTTCCGATTCTACACACCTCTACAGCTCGCGTATTCGGCGATAGTTGACATTTGCTTCTAAGTGTGAAGTTTTTGTATGAACCGATTTTGAAGCAAAGTACAGATAAACCTTAGCACTAGCAATCTGTGCCATTTTTCATAAGGCGTCTCCACTCGCATTGAGTTTGTATTGTGAATGTTAAGGTGCGTGCAACGCCCTTCAATGTAAAAAACAATACAAGTGGAGATGATACACGGGATTTATCTGTACTTTGTGTGAACACTTATAGAAGCGAATGTCAACTATTGCCGAATATGCGAGCTGTAGAGGTGTGTGCAATCGGAAATTAGTTGAATCGAACCGCATTTAAACGCGTCGCCGATTGCATTCATGCCTGACAGCCTGTAGAACAGCGAACGATGACAAAAATTTGCTTCAAAATCGGTTTATACAAAAACTTCACACTTAGAAGCGAATGGCATTTAAACGGTAACTCACCGTCGGTGAGAATACTTTTAACAGACCAATTTGAAATTCAAATCTTCGAATAAAAACAGTTTTTTGCCTAAAAATTAAATTGTAAAACATGTTTGCGAAGTAAACAAAATGAATTGTCATATTTTTTGTTTAGATTTTCTCCAATTTTAGTTTCGCGCGGGTCAACAGGGTTTGCAGATCATTTTTTAACGGTAGTCTTCTAGATAGAAGAAATCACAACTTATACTGGTATGAGACATTTATTTTCGAAGAATGAATTACAAAAACGCACTGTACTACTCGTAAAATGCACGTCAACAATGGGAGACGATGTCTCATATTTCAGAAATTTGCAGAGCTCGTCATTCTTTCATTATCAATAACCAGCAATGTAATAATCACCTAGCTGATAAAAATGATTGAACAACATGCGACCATTTGCGTCGAACGAATTCCGTGTAGAAAATATAAGACGCGACGCGATAAACGTGCATGCCGTCGAGATGTGTTGTGCTGTATGAAATCGTGATAGCTGAGCGTTGAGCGTTTAAATCTATTTTATCCATGTAAACAGTCAGTTTTTTTTTTACTTCTTCTTCTTTCTTTCGTGCGTCTTTGGTGTATAGTGAGTGACTTATTCGCCAATGAATGGCAAAAGTGTGTTGGAGTGCTGAAGTAGACTTCACGTTTTAAACCGTGAATGGCCTGAATATAGTAGTCACATGGATACTACAGAGCGCGTTTCGTTTGTTGTATACACGAAGCGCGCGATGCGTATGTGTGTTATTGTCGACACGTTTAGTGTAAAACTACAAACAAACAAGCTCGGAATCATCGAAGAAAATGAAATAAACCGAACGATACGGAAAAAAGTTTATAAAACCGTTGGATAGCGTTCGATGTGATTCAGTTCGTTGTGGCCGGCCTGATTGAATGGTAGTGCTGAAACTGTCTTCAACACAACTTAAACTATCAACATTCTATTGAGTTGTCTTTCAAAAGTTCTTCTAAGAATTTATTCAACACTTGCGTATCGTCTCAAAGACTTTGAAATTTTTTTTCTCTACGTCGTTAGCTTTCGACAAACAAGAGATCAAATCAGTGTTAAAGAGGTATATTGTCGTCGCGTAAATAAATAAAGATATTTGTGTATGGTGCAAACGATCGAACGTCGAATCAATGAATAAACATTTTTTGAGGTGTCTACATTTTTAAAATTCAATAAGTCAAATTAGTCGTGCTGCAGTTGTCAACCTGAAAGAATCGTATTAATCATGACCAGTGGAGTTCAGACCGTCATAAAGTTAGTATAACACAAAATCTATATGAATTTTTTTACTCATCTATATAGTAAATGTATATGCTTGAAATACGCGGAAAATGCTTAAATAAAATCATTGAAAAGCACGTTATCACTTTTGAAGTTTTGCCGCACGATTTTTGTGATGAATGGATTTATTTTGTGAAAAAAATTTCAATTGCGGAACTATTTTTTTGCTTTCGGTACCTTTTAGCGCCATATCACAATGGATTTTGTCTGTTTTCATTAAAAATAAAAATAAATCACGTCAGAGTCTACTGTATTCATTGAGTGAAAATATGTTGTTCAAGCAGAAAGATTGCGATTTTATTATTTACCAATTTAATACTAAAAATGTTTAATTTGTTGTTCGCGTTGCTATGCTTTGCTATGCTTTGCTTTGCTTTGCTAGGCACAGTTTAAATGTTCGATTGTGATAACAAGTAATACCATGTTTGGAAAATAAACTAATTTACTAATCGAATTTCAATTATATTCATTCCATGTGCATACGTACACACATAGTTTAGGCAATATTTTATTCAACACTTCTTTTTTCGCTTTCATTCGGAATTTCTATTTCATTGCAAATTGCCGTGTTCGTTTTTTTCTTTTCCAGTTTCCGTTCATTCAGAAAATTACCATAAGTGCAATGTGTCCAACAAAATAATTGAGCATGGATACAATTTGCATGTTTTTAAAAAAAAAAATTAATTCAAAAATGTGCTCAATTCAGTGGAACGCGTTGTCGATTATAAAATAAATGGATAAATTGGTTGCCAATAGCACGTACGAAATATTGTAAATCATAATTAAATATGACGGTTAACAATAGCTAAATGTATCATTTTCATGCCCACTGAATAAAAGCCTATTAAATCTTGAGATCATCGAGAAAAACTTTGGCCAATGTTAATTGTCGTCCGTTGGCAATTTTCGGTATCAATTGAAGTGTGGCGTCGAATCGGAAATGATTTAATGAAATTCAATGAGTTTTGATCAAATCAATCTAAATCATCTATCTATTTTATTTCAACTTTTTTCTGATGTCCATTGACTTATTTGCTTTTTATGCGTTGAATATCACACAATCAAATTGATACAATTGAATCAAATGTTCATGCTTGTAATTTGCACGGCATTTAAGTGGAGTCAAAGTCGAGAGTCACAATTAAATTGAAAAGAAACCAAGCAAACTGCTCTCGCATAACATGAATTACGATAAATGCGTTTACATATGCAAAGTAGATAAACTATTCAATAACACAGAAGCAAAGAAGAAGTAGAAGAAAAAAGCGATGAGCAAGAGAGCAGTAAAAAAAAGCTCTACAATTAATGAATAGTCACAAAACAGTCACATAAATCAACGGGCATTTGTAATTGCCTCGAATATTTGTGCATATCTCTGGCGCTGGCGATTTTATTCGTCTTCATTTGTGTTCAGTGTCAGTTGCCCGCAAATCGTCTTTCAACGTTGGTTATTGTTATTTGTAAATTCACACGCAATGACGGTCATTATTATTTTATTTACTTACTACCAGGCTTAGTAGTTGATTTTGTTTCCTCTCTCTCTTGAATCTGGTAATCAAAATTATGCGTTATCAAAAGAAAAAAAAATTATATTGACCTACATAAATTATTATTTACACACCGTAGCCGTTTCTGTTGTTGTTGTTTCTCTTGTCTGTGTTTATATTTTTATGTTAATGTAGCCAAATGTACAGAATTTTATTTAAGCGGGAAGTTTGTGGTTAACACTGCATAGCAAACAAGAGAAGTGTGTGCAAAGTAATTATTGCTTACCATTTTTTTTTTATTTACTTCCATTTACATTTACATGAATGATGCTTGAACACAGCAAGAAAAAAAAACCATAAATCTGCCGATTGAGCAATTGATAGAGAGAGAAAAAAGTGGTTGCATGTAAATAATTCCGTTGAATTGATTAGTATCGGGTTCAAAGACCAAGTAAGATCTGATCTTGCGACAAGAATCCGTGAGATGGTATCGATTCTAATGAGCACGACACAGCCCACTTCAAAACAGTGTGACAAAAACGAAGACTGAAAAAATTGGGTGTGCTTCAACGCGACGCAAAGAGAATGGTTGAAACTGGTTCTAATATCACTTTACCTTGTTTACATTCCTATCCGATTCAAAATACTCTTTTAAAGACATGGTTCCTGATTTTTGAGGCTCACATTTACCAAACTCTCTCAAAAACTTGGTTTGGAACGGTTTAAAATCGATTTGCATGAACCAATAAATATCAAGCTCACGTTAACCACAATTTAATGAGCTTGTGTAATCGTAACCGTTTATGTGTGCATTTGTGTCTGTATGGAAAGTAATTAGGAAATACAGTGCGAGTTTGTTTTTCTTTTATCGAAATCGACATTCTACTGATGAGTCTCTAAATGGTTAGATTACATTTTTGTGTGTTTTATTTTACAACACATTTTACTTTATGCGTGTTTCATTCCATTTTTTCTTTCATTTTACGCCTTTGGCATTCTCTTTTAATTGCATCCCATCAGTAGCATACGTGCATATGCATACACGCCTAATAAACATTAGCTACCTGCACTTGCTTTGCCAACTAATTTTCTACAACATTTTTTTTCCTCATCGGAGAGCCGTATTTCCTTGATTTCCTCACACCTTCGGTCGTTCACATTGGCAGCAGCACCAAGCTGTACGTTTTCCCATTTGAACGTACACTCGTTTTGAAAATGTAATGCGCTAATGAAAGTATTAACGCAAAAGATAATGAGCCTATTCCGTTATTGCCACTGCATTGATTGCCAGGCAAATTTTTAAATATTTATTGGAATAAAAAAAAGAGTAAATGTACAATCGTTTCTTGTTCCACTCAACATTTAAGCCTTTACGTTCGTTTTCTTCTGTACACATTTACGATATCCAACATCGTTGCTCTATTTATGTTTCCGTTAATCTCTGTGATTAATTTTTATATATTCGATTCAAGATTGCAAATTATTTTTTATAATCAATCGACCGTTACCTTGACGATCGATGCGGTGCACAAGGGAAAGAGAAAAGGCAACCCAAACAATATTTTGTATCTTCTTGGTGTCAAAATTCTCTTCATTTGAAACGTGCATACACGCTCAGTTTGAAATGAGATCGTGACCCAGCAGGTATAAATGCCTCAAGCTAATGTATTCATCGAGACGACAACGACGACGGTCCGGTAAATTGTAGAGTGTCTCTTTTGCGGTTGTTCGCTTTGGCTTATGCAAAGTGCCTTTTTTTTATTTTGATTCCTTTCTAAATGCAAATCATGCGTTCTGCGTTAATTGAAACGGTGACTAAACAAACAGTTCGCCAAAAAAAAAACAACACACTCATTTTATTTTTCAAACCGAGTTCGTAAAATCCAAATCGACGAGTAGTGAATACTGATTGATGCTCAAAAAACGAAATTTTTCTACCTTTCTTTCTTCTCTCCGTCGAATGTTTGCTAAATGTATACGATAAAAAAGTATCGCAAAACGTTTTTTGATAAATGATCAATTGACCTGCCAGCCATTTGCATTCAACAAATTTCATTGCGCGTCAATTTTCAACACAACGCTATTTAATGGAAATATATTCCTTTTTTATGGTAATTGTTAACATTACGATGCTGAGTATTTATTGTTCGATTCAATATACTGCGTATTCCATTATTACCTATTAATGCTGATGAATTTTTTCCCGTTTGATCACGAATTTAATTCTATAAAATCAATCAAACATCCTGCAAATGAAAAAAAAACACACACACTACACATTCTTTGGCTAACCTTTTGCTTGATTCCAGGTTAAAGAAATAACTACATATTTAAATGGAGTTTACGGTCTGCGGTGTGCGTCATATAAATTACGATTTGTTACTACATTTCGTAGGAAAATTGTGTTAAATACTTCGTCATTCAGAGGAAAACACTTCGAAAAATGTTTTCCCCGATTATTTTTAGTCATTATTTGGTGAAAAAAACGTGAACTGTTAGGCAAATAACGGCATTTAGACAGTTTTAATGAAATTAATGGAGTTAATTAACTCTCAGCCCAAGTAGGTATAGTTTAATTAAGATTTATTTAATATTTTTCTTCATCGCAATTCGGGGAAACAAGACTTCCAACAAATGAATCATGCTCAGAAATTCAATCCGATACCAATCAATCCGATTTGATAGTGGAATATTTCGGAAGTATCCGATAAAATCTGGCAAAAAAGGAGCTAAGCAAAGTGGCATTCGTGGTGTTTTTTTTTTTCAATTCTGTCACATTTTCCAGTCCACGTGATGCGGTTGCGTTTCGTTCACGCACGTTTTTTCCAATTAAGAGCGACGTAAGCATCCGAAGAAAGTAACATGTTTGTACCATTTCTTGAGTGTATCGGTTGCATTGTGCTAAGTGAGTTTTAATTATGTAATGTACGAGTATATGTTGCAGCGGGTGCAAATTGTCATCCATGTGGATGTTCAAGTGACTCGAAACAAAAGAGAATTTTCCTGTGACTTGCACGCTTAGCATGATGTTCACAAGCTTATTTCCGACAATTGTAATTTGTAACTTATTGAAGCACTCAAAGACTCAAACCACATTCAATGCGCTACTAATTATAATCGACGCGCGTTACACACGCGTTCGTTAGGAACGAAAAGTGCAATGAATGACATCAAGTTTGATTTATTTATAAAGCGATCGACTAGTGCTTGCGGATGAAACCTTTTTGATTATTGAAAAGTTTTACATTTGGATTAATTTTCGCATTTAATTTACATTTTGTGTGAGAGTGTGTGCGTTTGCTCGTGATGCGGGTCTATTGTCGCGTTGCAATTGTTATTATTATTATTATTATCGTCGAACACAACAGAAAAAGTGCAGAGAGTATGATTCTTCCTTTTTGTATATGCGCCCTTGATATTTAATTCAATGCCTGTTATTTTTATTGCATCGCAATCATTTTTTTTCCCCTCTCTATTGAATTTGTT